TGCTACAAGATATGAAAATTTCATTTTATCGCTGGTAATGCCAACCAGCCAGTAAAATTTCACTTTCTCTCTTCTTCTCACTGCGGTTCCTTCATTTTTCAAAGCACTAAGAAAAATAGTTTCCACCTTGTTGAAATCAAGAGGTTTTTATAATTATGTGCACTGTATAGTGTTTATTAGCATTCTTTTAAATCATTAAGACTAATATGTGTGTGTTTTATTACATTTTGAACCAACTGAAAAACTAACTATCTATTACAGTCGAATCCGGTTAATTGGACCACTGAAAAGAACCGAAACAAATCCTATGTACATAAGTCTAATATAATTCGCTTATTTGGACCAAAATTCTGTTTAATCGGACCAAAAAACGTGAGAGCGAATAAGAAACAGAAGCCATAAGTCGGCCGCGTACAGTGGAAGTACAAGTGGTCTGCAAGATATGGGAAGATCTGTTGTAGCTTTATCAAAGGTCAGCAATTCCTTAAAGTGCATGCCAGGTAAGCAAAACCAGTGGGAGGTGAACATGCACACCATTTTCTTTGACTTTCTAAAACAGAACCACCAGTAGCCACCCGAGTCCCACTTTTCCGATTTTCAAGGAAATGAACAATAAAGTGGCCAGCTCCACCTGAAAGGAATTCCTACCTGTCAATCATGATTAAAGTTCACTCGAGAAAGCTATCATTTCATCACCATTTTGGGATGATTTTTAGTGCCATAGCTTTGAATGGAGAGCATTTTATCTCCCTCTTGACCTTAACATCTTGAACCTAAAACACCAAGGTTTCTTCAGACCACTTTAGTCAGTGTGTGTATGTCTTGTCTCCCTTGCCAAAATGTCACGATGGGACTTGACGTTAGCTGAAATAATTGGTTTCCTGGATACGATCAAGCAACAACCACGAAACACTAGTCAGCGTCGGTTGGTGGAAATAACCAGATTGGCAAAGACTACAATTTCGCGCTTGATACAACAAGAGAATGAGCTGCGAGAAGAATGGGCACGATGTGAAGGATGAGTAGGAACTTCCAAAAAATGTGTGAAGGCAAGAACCCAGATATCAATGAGGCCCTTAACGAATGATTTGCTATTGTTTCTGGATGATCTGTGTGAGTAAGTGGCCCAATGTTAAAATGCAAAGCAGAAGAACTCGCTTAAAAGCTGGGCCACGATGACTTTAACGCTACTGGCGGTTGGTTGTCTCGATAGAAATCTAGACATAAAATTCAAGAAAGCACATGGCAAGAAAGAAAGTGCTGATAGTGCAAATGCTGACAAATAAAATCAACAAAACTGCCCGAGCTCCTTAAAAATATTTCAGCAGATGACATCTACAATGCTGATGAGACAGGGCTGTATTATCATGTTACACCGGACGGCCCGTTAAGTTACAAACATGCTGCACTTTCCGGCTCCAAAAAAGCAATGGATCGCGTAACTGTTTTGTGCTTCTCAAACATGTCAGAAATGGACAAGAGGAAGCTGTTGGTTATAGGAAAAAGCACTAAACCTCACTGCTTTAAAGGACTTAAGATGGAGAGTTTACCAGTTGTGTATCGTGCAAACAGAAATGCGTGGATGACCCGAACTTTTTAAAGAATGGCTGAAGGATTGGGACAGAGAGTTACAACGACAGTCAAGAAAAGTGCTGCTTCTTCTTCACAATTGTGCAGCACATCCTCATTTAGATTGCTTGATGAATGTCCAACTAGAATTTCTACCTCCCAGGACCACAGCTTTGGTCCAAACAATGGACATGGCATCATAAAAAATTTGAAGACCCTTTATCATGCAAGGTTGGTTAATTACATCCTTGAAGCAATTGAAGAACGTTTGCTGACCTCATCGTCAAAAGCCAGCAAAGTCAGTGCAAAAGTCAACATCTTACAAGCAGTTACATTAGTGGCCGACAACTGGCGAAACATGAACAGTGAGACAATTCAGAACTGTTTTTCTCACTGTGGCTTTAAGCACTTGGTTTAGGAGATGGATGTAGACATGCTCATTGAAAGTGAAAATGATGATTTACATGTGGAACTTCAACAGGTACAAAATTGCGAAGAATTTTTATCCATTGATAATGAGCTCCAATGATACAATTAAAATGAAGATTCCGATGCTGCAATCGTTGCTCAAGTTGCAGCAAAACACACGACAGCATCAAAAGACCAAAAAAGTGATGATGATGATGTCGCTAATAAGTTGGTGCAAGTGATAACACAGGATGCGAGGAAATGAAACTTTGCGTTGTTATTTCATGCAGGAGGGAAATAAAAGCAGTCCCGTTGTTGCGTTAGATGTTTGTGGGGATTTTGTTCACGTGGAATCTCTCAAGAGAATGTGTCAAATCACATTGGATAAGTTCTTCAAATGTTGGCTGGAACTTGGTAAGAAATTGTTTTTATTGTGCTTTGCATGTTGAGTATCATGGAGATTGTTTCCTAGAATTTGTTTTTAAAGTAATTTTCTCAATGAAAAAAAAGTTCGACTGTAGTTCTTGTTTGTAAATGTATGTTCACCATATGTGTGTATCATACCATAAAGTTCATAATTACATTTTAGTACATGATTTACATGTACATTTACTGTTTGCTACATATAGCATGTCCCGTCTTACATGTTCATGTAGTCGAATCAGCCGGTTATTAGGACGGAAATGATCGCTTCGATGTGACCCGATTAACTGGAATCGACTGTATATTATTTAATTTTTTGCATTGTATTTTGCTGATATTTTTACACTTTTTAGATGACGTGATAAATACCATATCAATTATGAATTCCATTAAACTTGCATTCACTTCAAAATAGGAATGTAAGAAACCTGTTTTACAGAAAAAGAGTGAAACATAATATGAAAAAAGAGAATAAAGCAACTGGAGAGTTTTTATATTTACTTATATAGTTTTGTTTTTTATTGCAACTAATTTAAACCAATAGATTAATTGATACTGTATTAATATGCTTTTCCAGTCACTTTTGCTTCAAAAACATAAAAAATTTTTTATTTCATTGGTATGGTTTTGAGCTAGAATAGTTCATGTTAGTAAAGTTCATATTAACTACATTTGAAATTTTTTTTAACTGTTTTAAACAGGGTTGGCACGCTACCTGGAAAACCGGAAAAAGTCAGGGAATTCGGAAATTGACCAAAAAATTCAGGGAAAAGTCAGGGAATTTAAGTGTTTTAGTCAAAATCTGGAAAAGTCAGGGAATTTCATACAATGATCCCGCCAAAAAAGGCGAGTTTTGCGCCGACGTCGGAAGAGATCACTTTTTTGGGGAATTGTGTATCACGTGAGTGGTCATTCGGGCAGCTGGCATAGAGCCAATTTTCGACAACTCCAATTTGATTGTCTTTTTAGAAAGGCAAAGCAAGTTTCCCCAAATTTTGGTTTCCAGTAACCTCGAGAATCGCATGTGCAGTGCATGAGCTAAAGAAAGTACCTGTTCTCGTATAAAACAAAATGGGTTTAATCCTAGTATACGGTACCATGAAGGTAAGAATTAAAAAAATATGTATTGTAAAGAAGAAAAACCTCTCTGCAACAGACGTGGCTCGGTTCCATCATAGCGGGAAACAGCTGTGCATGCGCGATAAATCTGTCGCCAAAGCTCGAAACCGGTGTCGAAGTTCGAAGGTCACGTTATCAAGAGCTCATAAAATGAATATCGTTTAAAATGTCTTTAAACTCTCAAGGAAAAGAAAATATTTTTTGGCGCAAGTAAATTAATTCATGGATTAGTTATTTTGAGGGGGGGAAATCTACGAAAATCCGTTTTTAAAATTATTGCAAAAAATCCAAGAAAAAACGTTCTTTGATAAAACGTTTTCTTCTTGGATTTTTCGCAATAATTTAAAAACGGATTTTCGCGGTTTTCTTTTTTGTCAAAGAACGTTTCTTTGGCGACAATTTTCAAAATCATGCAAAGGCCGTATCGTATACTAGGATTTTACGGCAAAATCTTTTTTTTTTTTTTTCCCTCTTTTCTTTTCTTTTTAATAAATACCTTGTCATTTTGCAGTAAAATAAAAAAATAGTAATCAATCATCTAGGATAACCATGTAATATAACTATATTCGCTAAAATATCGTTGATTATTCTAATTAAATTTTTAAGTAATTATCTTTATTTTTATGTTATTCATATCATTTAATGTTGCTTCTTCCCTCTAAATTTATGTATCATTAGTAAATAATATTTCCAAATTTCAGGAAATTTTCTCTGGCATAATCCTGAAATTAATTCTAGCAGTATGATGACATCGTGAAATTTAATGCACATATTTTTTCCTTATGTATGGCTGCGAAATAAATATAAAATACCTCAATTTAGTAAAAAAATATCATTAAATAGATTTCTTTCTTTCGCTTAGCTGCAGAATGTCTGCAAAAAAAGCCTTATTTTATTCCAGATTGGGCAGATTCTAATCTCAATCTTCAGTGGAGAAAACAACTCCTATTATAATTATATTTCTGTTTTCAAGTGTTAAGGTGCCTTTTAAGAATACACCTCACACAAATTAAATTTACCTAAAATCTAACCTAACTTTTAGCATTGCGTTGTGATTTATAAGAACCGGATTAGCCTCGTGTTGAACTGGGGATGATCATGAGTAATAATTAAATAAAACGTACAGTTGTTATCCAATGTATATATCTTAAATTTTATGAAGTTTTTTAAACGGAAAAGTAAACAAAATTATCAAACAAAGTGTACCAAGAATAATTAAGAATAAATGTCCTCTGGGATTTATTGAATAATTAAGTGAATTTGCTACACAGTACAAGTAATAACCATAATTAATTTACCTCTTAGCACAGCCAACGTACATTACGCGGATAGACTGGAATTTTCTCGAAACATACCTGGAAAACCTGGAAAAGTCAGGGAATTTCATTCTCCTGTTTGAGTGGCAACCCTGTTTAAAATTTAAAATATTATTTTGTTTGAAACTTAAAAATTCTAAAATTAGCTGTTTTATATTGTTGTAGAAATTTTTACGAAGACTGGGCGTTTCTAATGGATGAGGAGCGTAGTAGTATGTTACCTATGATGGCAGCAGGTATACTTCCTTTATCTGTCTAAATATTTTTTTTAGTGTAGAAGTACAGGAACATTCATGAAAATTAACTGTTCTGTCTGTTTAAATGGCTGGTTATAATAATGCTAATATTTACTAAATAAATAATAAAATATTGGTACTTACATATTTTTCCAACAACTGTTTCAATAAATACAAACTGTCACTAAAACCAGTAATAGATAAGCGTGCCATTATAACACACTTATAAGATTGTTTTGTTTTTATGTAATCCTGATTGATTCTCAATAAGCCAGTTTATGTTAAGGAGAAAGTAATTTAACTGCTATTTTGCTGTTTTTCTCGTGCATTTTCAGAAAATGATTGAAAATTGGAACCTGCTTTCTACAGGATGGCAAGTGCTGGAATATTTTCAAAGTTACAGGATTCGGCCATCATACTCAGTATCAAAAGATTTTGGAATTCAGTAAAATGACACACTGAATAACAGTGTGAAATTGTGCAGTGTAATTTAAGATATGTGTTTTAGCGAATTTATGTTGAGCCGAGTTTACAAATATTATTTTGTTGTTATTAGATGTCATTAAGAATTTTTGTCAGAATTTTTTGAAGTAACTGGCACAAGGGAGAGAATGCAGCTTTCTCGCGGTGCTGCCCTAAGCGAAAACTGAGAAAGAAGTGCAAATTAGCAAAAAATTTAAAAAAAAAAAAAAAAAAAGTGAAAAATTGTATCTTGAAGCTAGAAGATAGGTTCCTGAAACACAGTCCTAAAAGATGATAATCATTTTCTGTTTCAAGCAGAATAGAAAGGTCTAATTTCTGTGTTATCATAACTTGATTCAAGGGGCAGACAATAATCCTGATTTTTTTTCCAAATAGATTATGACTAGAGATGCAACTTGGTGCTTTGCTTGTGATTGTGGCAAAAGAACATCATCCATTTTATTGTAGAAGTCATGGAAATATTGGTTTCATAATTTTTTTTTTAATTAAAAGGAGATAATTCACAAGGAATTTTTTCCTGGGGAACAGATGGTAAAATCCATATTTCATAAAGAAATAAGGACAGACTTCATAAGAGAATTTAGTGCAAAAGTCTAAACCCAATACTAAAAAAAGTTAAATCAAATAACTAATTTCTGTCGTATGACAATTAATTCACCGTTTTACAACAAAAGTGTCTGTGAACAGTTTTTTTTGCAAAGAAAAGTGTCACAATTCTCAACCACCCTTGTAATTCACCAGTTTTGGTGCTCACAGACATTTTTCTCGGGATAATAATCTCGGGTTCGTATATATTGCAGTTAATTATTATCCCGAGAAAACTCAGGCCAAGCAGAATTTGTTAGTATGATTTCTTTTATCACAGTTTTACTCGGTCTGGAGGAAATGAAAGGAAATATTCATATTCATTTGCCAAATTTGTTGGTTGCGCGGTTCTTTTAGGGACTAATCGCGTGTTTCATTGCAGTGTTTATATAGAAAAGTTTTTCTTTATTATGATTTCAGTTTACAACAAATTTTTCTGGAAATAGCAGGAAATATTCAGCTTTGATTGGCAGTTTCAATTTGGCAAAGGGAAAGAGTGTTCTAAGGGGAAATTGCAGCAAAAATAGGGGGGGGAAGCGGTTCTAAAATTTGGAGGGAGGCTAAAAGAAGGAGATCTTTTGAACAGAAGGAAAAAAGGAAGAAAAGAAATGAAGAGATGAATATAAAAAGACAGTAGGAAGGAAAGGGTGAGAATGGAAAGGAAAAGGGGGGAAAGAAGAGGGGGAAAGAAAAGGGTAAGAAAAAAAAAGTGGACAGGTTTCCTCAAGGGATAATCGCGTGTTTCCCTATTGTATAGTATACGTTGGCTTGTGGATTAGTAATGTATAAAGAAGGATGCGTGCGTTGGGGGAAAAAATAAAATAATGTCGATGATACAAGATAGCAAAAGCGATGATTTTTCAGATAGTGATTATGAAGAGGTGGGGGGGGGGGAAATCAAATCTAACGAGACAGTGTACTCTGTGCTCCCGTGAAAGAGATTCCAGCGGTAAGCCAGTAAGAAAAGAGACCAGATACCAGTGTAGAACGTCAGGTATCACTCTGTGTTGTCCCTTGTTTCAAAAACAATCATACAAAGATTAATATTTAACTATTTTCGTTTGCTCGAGATAACTCGGGATTGTAAACTAATATTAAAAATAAATGCTTTTACACCTTCAAAAAATGAAAAATTCAACTTAAAACCTACATATTTTGATTTGTTTCGTTTTTTTGTATTTAATAATAAAATTAAAAAATGTGATGATTTTTTGCAATTTTTTTCAAAAAAATTTGTAAGGGAAGCGGTTAAAGTCTCACCTCAAAGGTCATTATTTTAACAGCACTAAAGACATTCGGAAAACTGTAACCAGAGAATTTGCTGTATTCCATGAGACAAGTTCTATAAACGAATCAAACACTTGTAGGAATGTGCTGAGCCGTAAGATTTTCAAGAATTGTTATGATGGCTGGATGTTCTTTTCTCGAAACTTTGAATGTGTAAATAAATAGAAGTCTGTCTTGCATTTTTTAAATTTTATTTTTATTTATTTATTTATTTATTTTACTAGATATTTCTGCCTTGCGTACACAATGTAGAATTTTTCCAATATTTTTTTTATCTTATTAATCGTTCTGTTTGCTTAGATGTTATGATTTTAAAACTTCTCATTTAAAAATTCGCTATTGCTTATATTTATAAAAGGGAGAAAAATAAATATGGAATATAATGACTGGCATTTTGATTAGATTAATTATTGTATGTGACTTGTATTTAACATTATACTTTTTTGTTTATTTAATAGCTTTTTCTGGGGGGGGTACATAAAATCAATACAGCAACTTTATATTTCATTTTTTGTTGCTTTTGTAAGTAAGTGCACCATAATCCTCATTTTGATCAAAATGTTGTTGTTTTTTGAATTTTTTTTTATTTCATTGCATTTGAATGTATAAGTTACCTGTCAGTATATATATTGATTTATTTTTAGGTCTAGGATCAATTCTGTTTGCCATTAGTATAGATAATCCAGATCTGAACATGCTTCGCCCATCTTCCTCAGAGTCTCTTTCTGATAATACAAAATGCAGTGCGCCTAATGATGAACTTGAACCTAAACCAGTTATATCGAAATCATATGAACAAGTCGCTGGTAAGATCATATAATAGTCTTTCTCGGTATAAGAGAGTTATATTCTCCTTAAATTAAATAAATAAAAAATAGCCACAATCTAAAGTGAATGTAACAATATTAATGAATGAAAACATGCATTGCTCGCCAGCAGCTGAGAGGTAAAATTGCTAAACACCAATAGTTCTGACATGACTTTGATTCCAGTCGAATGAGCTAATTGCATTGGCGTTTTTGGAGCTTTCCCCACATGTTACGGGTATACGAGCCAGTTTCTCTGAGAAAGTTCTTCACAAAGGCATCCCTTCCCTAAGGCAGGATGCCCTCCCCAGCTAAACCTAAACCGAAAGCTGTAAAAGCAACACATCTTTCACTGTGTGACACTTTGCTGATAAAATGCTTACATGGGAAGACTCAAAACAATAATGAGTGTTTTAATAACCTTTTGAGGACTATTTTACCTAAAGAAACTTTTGTCCAACTAGGTGCACATATTGCTGTATTATTATTTAATTCAAAATATTTAGGACTTTTACCTATTTTCAGGTATATAGAAATAGAAATTAATCGCACTATGCTTGAAAGCTACATAGGAATAGACAAACGGGGAATTCAGAAATCGGAACGCCCATCTCTACAAGCAACAAAGTTATCCAGAAAAATGCTAAAAGAAAGTCAAAATTAGTTAAGAATGAAGTAAAAGAGGGCCTAACATACAAATACGGCGAGCTTTAAAGGTCTAAAGTGGCTACAAAATTTTTTGTGCTGTATTAAAATTATTAAATGCATTTTCTGAGAAATTGTGTTTTTCGTTACTTTAGAAAGCGATTACGTTAATTTCTCAAAATATATTTAGAATATTGAAATGAAATTTTGCCAAAATGTTTTATTCATCTTTAGCTGTGTTCTGTAACAAAATCTGACCTCTTTGTATTTATTTATTGATTTTATTGACAGTGTTTTGAAGAAAAGAGGATTTTTTTATGTTAATTTTGAGTTTTTATACTAAGTTTTGAATATTTCAAAAAATTTTATAAGTACAGCAAATCTTTTGCTTCAGAACATAGGTAGGTATGTTATTTATATACTGTGTAAAGATTATTGAAGTATATTCGTTAGAATTTATTATAGGAGATCTGGCATAAATGAAAATTTTCACTAAAATTTTACTAAATATTGCATATATTTGAAAAATTAATGAAACATTCTACAAAATCCCATTTAAATTCATAGTTTTGTATCCCATCTTACTCAAAAACGTGCGTTTAATTAAAATTTTATGTATTTAAAAAAGAATGCTTCATATGTAGGCACAAACCTTAAAAGAGCTGTTTTGATTAAACTTGTTTTATTATTATTATTATTATTATTATTATTATTATTATAAGTAAGAAACATTTTTCAAGGAAATGTTGCATATTATTTTTGGGTTTATTTAATTTAAATGTACTAATATTAGGGTATAAAAGTGAAAAATTTCATTTTGTATACTAGTTTTCCTTGAAAATGTTTGTTTTCTGTAATTTGCAGTGTTGATCTTTCACTGAAACAAAAAAATAAGTAAATAAACTTAAATTATTTTTCAAAACTTCTAAAAACGAACTGTTGTTTTCCTTCAAAAGTTGCAATTTTTTTTTCCCTTCCCTGAAGCCACTCCCCGGAACCAAAATCAGTCACTGGAGACTTTGTGTAAACAATATGAGTACATTGTTTTCATAGTACTGTTTTTGATTGATTATTTGTTGACATCAGTAGTATCAAGCTTCTAAATCAATGATAACAATATCAAACGGTAGACATAATGTTGAAAAACTGCATGGCATTTAGGGTTTTATCTTGTGTGAGTGTAATTTAAAAGACCCAACTAGACTGCCAACTGAGCTGTCCTCCATCTGTGAAAACTCCTATGAACAATATGCTCTGAAACTGCAAATTCTTATGAAGATTTAAAAATAAACTTTTAATTTTAAATTTGAACTTTATACTGGGATACAACTTGTGCATACAAATCAAACTCTGCCAATTGATAGTGCTAATATCAGAAAATTGAAAATACAATTTAAAACGGTCTCGTAGATACAGACAGCATTAATTTGCATATCTAAGCATTGGCTCAAACTTTTAATCGCGCAATTAAACTTTGGCTAGTAGAATAGCAAATTCGAGAATGCTAACTTAGTAGAGCTGGAGAGGGAAAATACAAGATGCGGGCATTGCTGCCAAAAGCTCTATATCTAAAACTTTCAAAACCCTGTCTTAAATACCGTATTTGCATCATGGAGAAGGTGATTTAAAGAAGAAGTAACAGTATAGCTCTAAATAATAAAAATGTGTTAACTTAAAACTCTGCAAGCATATTACATGCATCATAAATTTCAGTTTTCCATCATGTCGCTGCAGTAGTATTTATCCAGTATGTTGCTGCAATAGTGTTTATTGTCCTAGTGGAAGTTTTCTTGAAATTTTCTGCCTAACTGACAAGGTTTCTTGATTGTTGAAACCTTCATATTGAATATGAAGTCAATTTGTTGGATGGTACATAGGTGAAACTGTGGATTAAACATATAAACATCCTGCTTGTGTTCAAAATATTTTTAGCAAAGGTATTGAATAATTCAATACATTTATATTATAAGGTATTTCTCCCGATTTCTTAGCATGCCTTCATGATATAGTGGTAGGAACGCTAAGTGCATATTCCAGAGGTCCGTGGTTTGATTTCCGGCAAGGGCGTTGCTAATTTTTCATCACTTCTGCTTCCAAAAAATACCTAATGTCTCTACAGTGGCACCCGAACTAAAAGAGTGGTGGATGATGATTCTCCACACCCAGGATTTGGCAATTGGGTCTCCTAAAACCCCAGTCACCCTTTAAAAAGGGGAGTATATAAGGTATTTCTCCCACCTTCTTAGCATGCCTTCATGGTGTAGTGGTCTGCACATTGGGCGCATATTCCATAGGTCCGTGGTTTGATTCCCGACAAGGGCATTGCTCATTTTTCATCACTTCTCCTTCCAAAAAATACTTTGTCTCTACAACATTATTGCAACTCAGCTTCTTTTTCATTCTTTTCAAAAAGTAGGGATTACGTCCTTTATCAGCTGGCATTGTATCCTCTTTAACTTCTGCATGCTTAAGTATCTTTTCTTCTTTCCTCTAATTTTGTAAGTGATATTTTGTAGGTGTTTGAAATGTAAAGAATGAAGTGAAATGTTTTTGTTTTGTGTTTGAATGTAAAGTTTTTAGTTAATAAAAATTTGTGACTACATAGTATGTACATCTTTTGTTCTGGTTCAAAAGTTCCGGACAAAGGTCGTAAAAATAGAAAATTGTATTTACCAAGTAATGATATTGTGGCTGCGATGAAAGCAGTCCTCTTGGCTATCTATACACAACTACTGCCAACGTTTCTGGAGGTCTTGGAAGCAATCAGGGAAATCTTCAACTGCGATGCTTGCAAATTCATTTGCAGTAATCTACAATCATCTTGATGAAAACCTTCCTTTCAGTCACCTTTTCACTCACGGAAACAAGAAAATATCACAATAATCTTTGTCACAAGTGTGGGATCATATCTGACTCTATTCAATAAATTAGCAGAAATTATTTGTCTGTCCTCTTTCTGTTCATCTCTTAGCGAGTGAGGGACGATTCTTGCATTAAGTTTCTGTTTCCCTAAATCTTCACATAAAATCTTATCACGCATATTACAATTCAAATTCAGTTCTTCTGATATCATACATACAATTACATGATGGTTTTCTTGCAGTAACTGCCTTACACACTGCATGTTTGCATCGGTATATGCTATAGACAGGCGACCACCTCTTGGGATCGTCTTCCACTGAATCTCTGCTTTCACGAAACCTTCTTTGTGCCACTCGAAAACGTGACTTCTTGAAAGTGCCTTGCCTGCATATGCTTGCATAATAATGTTTCACTAAGGGTTTTCCTAAGCTTAATGCAGAACTTAATGTTCAGTCTTTGCTCCATTATGTCATCTTAACAAATGCAACAACAATCCGAACAGTGTGTTGCTAAGCTCAGCCCTACCACCTAGTAAGTTTGCGTATTACTTGGCATGGCCAAGGTCATGTCAAGTAAGAACCAGGTTACATAAAACCAAGTACCAGGTTACATAAAAACAACTTTTGTTCATTTTTAGTATTGCAACCTCAAAAATAAAAAAATTGTCCTGGAACATTTCTGACAAAGGATGTATTAATATCTTATAATTTCAAACACTTTCTAAATCTTAACCCTCATATAATCTTTTCAGTGTTTTGTGAGCATTAATTTTTCGAGGTACAGATAAGTAAAATATACTTGATTATCTTCCAAGTATAAAACCTGATATTGTTGAGGTCTGCTTAATAGTAAAAGTTACTTAACAATATGTGCTAGATAAGCTGTTATCTGGATAATGAATGTAATTTTCTTACTTCTAACTTTAAAAAAATATAGACAGTACTTTCTTAGAGATTTATAATAAGATAGCTTCCCCACGAAGTGGGTTTAGGATTTCCAGAGAGTGGCAAGAAAAGGCAGGGTTGTCAGATTTGGTACAATATCACCCATTTGCCAATGTGCTGTAGATGGAGCGAGAACATTCTAGAACGAATTCTTACTGGTTTATCCCAGAATGTTTTCGAAAGGCAGGTAAAAAATCTAAATAAACCCTGCTTGTATGCGGAGTAGGAGTGTATCTTGAGAGAGTATCAAGAGTACATTGAGTTCGGTAATGGTGTCTTGAAATCTGAGAATGATCAGCTGAGCCGGGAGCTGTAATTTAGTGCTTTGCTGTGAAGCTGTCTTCACTGTTGTAACCTGAAGGCTGTTTTGCTGATTGTTTCATCATGTCTATTATAGTCTTTTGGCAACTGCAAATGTGTCTTTGAAATTCTGCTGTGTAATACTGCCGAATAAATTGTGTTTTTATTCTTCGTCAGGTGTTGTCGTCAACCACTCCAAATCCATGAACCTGTAGAATGCAACAATATTATTGCATCATCTGAACTGTA